ATATATATATATATATATATATATATATATATACACACACATATATATATATATATAAACGCGATCAAACATTAACATCACAAATTTCGCGATTTCGCGCCTTCTCGATAAGTTATCATCCGCTACATCGAATACGGCCCGTTATCGATACTCGATGTACACATCAGCAGAACGCATTAACGAGCCCAATTAGCGCTCTGACGACACAATTTGTGCGAACCCTCGAAACTGAAGCGACGTTATAAGTATGCATCGCGATCCTCGTCGGAATGCAAAGCCGTATGCGCATTGATAAATGACAAGCGGTGATCGTGGAAACGCGGATGGGACCACGTTCGTGAACTCTTGTTAATCCGATTCCAATGCTTTACAAATCCCGCTTGGACAGTTTTGTACTTACAATATACGTAATAGGTACGTGAAAAATTTTACAACAAATTTGGCTGAAACATAAAGGATCCTATACGTTACAGAACTTGTAGCAATATTGGTGTAACATTCGCAATGTTGCTGCAATATTGCAGGAATAATCTGTACACGAGGCTTACTTTTTTAATTCAGTTTGAAAATTGTTCATTAGATATATAATCGTAGCACAACGTATCTAGAATAGTTCAGTTCAATAGCAGAATTTCTCGATGCTAAAAATATGCATATATACCGGAATATCATCCGGAAAATGCATACAAGTCGTCGTTAATCGACCAATGTGCACGCGACCTTACGCGGACATGCGAGATCGAACGGAATGGGGCAATGGCGCGTGAAAAGCTCCAGATAACACAGCTATATTTCCAGCTACATATCGGCAAAGCTCAAAGAGTTAATCGTATGTCCGCGAGGCAGAGGACAGAACGGGGTAGGAAAAAAAAGCGCCGCGAGCCGGCCGCGCGTGTATTTTCGATAATTATTCGACAGTCGATTTGCGTGCGGATGGACTGCGCATTGCGGGGTGGGCGGAAGCGGAAAGGGGATAAACGGGGAGGAGAGGGAAGGGGTTGAACGAGAGAGCGGTCGAGAGCGGGTTGCCGGGGGATTGTGAGAGAAGGGGGGCTGGGAGAGTAGACGCGATTGTGGGGTCGCGGGGGTGGTTTCCGAGAGTCGCGTTCAACCATCCGGAAGCTATGAATATATTATTTGACGGGCAGTTTCGGTAGACTCCGATCGGATGGAGCATCGATCATGGCTGGCGCATCCCTTTGGGCCATTTTCATGCGTCAGAATGCGACACGCCTGTGATCGAGCGATTGCCGCGAAAATAAAAAAAACCCAGGAGGAGGGGGAGAGAGAGAGAGAGAGAGAGAGAGAGAGAGAGAGAGAGAGAAAAGAGGGATGCGCACATGGACGCGCATGCGAAAGCGCGCGCAAACAACGCCGGCCGTTAACCAGCGCGATATTTTTCCTCAGCAAGGAAAAAAAAATTCGAATGGCGTGATGTGTTAAAAACAAATTAGACGTCGAGCGACGGCACTCGATTCCTGTTCCTTCGGGAGGTAAGACAGTCAACAGGTAAGCGAAGCAAGCAAATGCATATCTGCGAGAGATCAATGCGCGAAGATAATCGAAGAACGACTCTACTATGACTTCTCGCATATCTTCTATTATGTTATCATGATTAAGCTAATTAATTTAATTTTTATAGGAATTATTTAATGATTCTGTAATAAATATCAATATATTTGTAATTCCCAAAAATTCTTTACTTAAAAAGATAAATATATATTCTTAAAGAAAGAGAAAGCAAAGCTTTTGTGTTCAAAAAATGTAACCAATATGCGAACAGATCTTATTTCATATCTTAACGTTTGTCGAGCGATTGAAATCCATAGAAACTCGTTAACAGTCTGTGATTAAATGAATGCGCATTCCACTTGCAATTATTATAGAAGAATCTCGTCAAAGACTACTTATATCTCTCCTAATTGAATAGTCGAAATTACAGTTGTTAGTCAAACTTAAACAACCTCGAGCAATGATAACCGGAATTTTCGCAAAGACAGATTGCCGCTCGAAGGAAGGATGAAGATAATGAACCCAGTAGTTAAAATTACAACGGAATATTCGTTCGGCCGAATGTTCTGCTTTCTGCAGTCTAGAGCTCAGATTTAAGTACCACAAAATCTAGTATTCTTGTTTTTAAGTGATGAATTTTTGAAATAATCTTTAATTACTGAGAATACAGGCTTTTGTACAAATCAATCTATGTCAAATAAATATAATCGTTAAATATATCGAATTACATATATCCAATTTATACTCAAAATAAAATAATAATTTTTATATCCAATAATAAAAAAAAAATTATATCCAATTGAAAATAATTTTATATTCAATTTAATAATTTTTGAAAAATGTCAAGAATACTGTAAAGATTATCAATAATTTCCCGATGATCATGTTGATACATTTAATGATCGTATTTATTTAATTATATTACAAGTAATAACGTAGATAATACTTAGTATAAAAATATTACATAATAAAAAAACAATTTATTTTAAGTTATGTCATTATTTAAATTTTTATCAACTTAATCTAACATTCCGGGAATCGCGCGATTGGAACGCATCCGTGGGCGGTAAGCTGTTCATGGAGAAATCGCAGTGGGTGGTCCTTTCTTCGTAGTAATCGAGTAGAAAATTCAATCGCGATCTGACTTTCGCATGGCTAGTTTCGCTCATTGTTATTGATTCGATTTTCAAAAGATAGCCTCCGAGAGAAAGAAAGCAGTATTTTCCAATCGATCTCTTTCTTTTCTTTGCGACTTGTCGCAGCTGTCGACGTTATAGCTTCAATCGGTTGTGTACCGATTTACCTACGATTTGTTATCAATTCTCTCCTGGACATGTGTTTTCCAGTGCGCATTATAATTGAAAGTAACACAAATTCTCCATCATTTTTTATCAAGATATTTTTAACGCCATATAATATTATTTACATGAATTCACGTAATAAACCATGTAAAACATACAAGAATAACTCAATTGAAAAATTAGAATTTAATTAGTGTTTAATTAAGTATATAACTTACAATTTACAATTTATCAAATGTAAGTAGTTTAATTAAATGTCTCATCGAAAATATAAAGTAATTCGCAATTGTAATAGAAAAATTAATTAACCAACATTCAACGCGGAATGATTAATATTTAAATAGGTTTCTTTATCAGTCGAGATGAAAGTGGTACCCAGAACGGTACCAGAATTAATCGCGATTACAAAGCGTCGTGTCACATACGAGAGCAATGGTACGAGATGCACCCCCGAAAAATTCGGGACTATGGCGCAAGAGAGTGGAGGAGGGGGAAGAAGGGAGAGCAAAACGCGGTACTGGAAGATGCAGTCCGACGTAACCTTTGACGTCGGGTCGCGTTGCGTTATAGTCGGCAGGCGCGCTTTGAAGTCGCGTGTATTTTAATGCAACGGCGAACTGTGCATATCGAGAGACTGCTGAATTAATCGCAGGGCACTCTGCGCGGGACGAGGGCGGTAGGGAGGTTGGAAAAGGGGATGGAACGGGGAAAACCGGTGGAGGAAAGGAGGGAGAGGGGACGAGACGGCCCCGCTTTTCTGGGGCACGTGCCCATGGGTATCGGTATTTCGGGGTGCGTTAATACCTCACTATCCAGACGGATAGAGAGAGAACAGAGCGAAACATCCACTCCTGCACATTGTTTGCGGCTTGGAATCAATAAAAGCATAGCTTTAGGCTACGATGGTCGCCATGGCAACCGGAGACCCATCCGTGCACTATCCCACTCACTCTGTCTCTCTCTCTCTCCCTCTTTCTCTCTCTCTCTCTCTCTCTCTCTCTCTCTCTTTCTCTCTCTTCCTCGTCCTTTTCCCTCTTCCCCGTCGTTCCTCGCCACCCTCGCGTCTCTCTCAAACCCCCGCAGTTTATCTCTGTCCCTCTTCGATCCTCAAACACGCATACCCTCTGTTCTTCTCTCGTCTTCTCTCTTCCTCTCTTTTTCTCTTTCTCCCTCGCGCTTTTTCGAACGCCGCATCTGCGTGGCGTTTTCCTTCTCTTTTTCCTCGCTTCTCCTTTTTTTTATTCTTTTTCTCCATCTCTACACTATCTCCTCAAAAATTCTAGTTCGGCTGCAACTCAAATTTGCTGCCGCGATAAAGCGCTCTTAAACTCACATCGCGATTTAATTACAATAAGAGCGATTCGAGAAAGCGAATCTTCCGGTGGATCAGTGTCTTGATGTTTTTTTCATAATAAGCAAAATACATGTAACTGCTAGAGATACGTAAAATAAACTTTTATTCTCAGATAAGTCAGTAAAAGACTTTTTTTTTCGAATTTCTATTATAAGCTTCATCAATATATCGAAAAAGAGATTTAATCTTTATTATACTTTAATTGATTTTGAATTCTAAAAATCTAATGAGATTTATTAATAGAATGAATGGTAGATCAACGGCAGAAATTGAAAAGCTGCGATTTTTAGTAGTGCATGTGACACCATTGTTAACTTTTGCGTAAAACATGAACATCCGTATAGCAAATAACGATAATATTAATAAATATTGTTATTATTTGTGCTGCTACACATATACGTGCGCAATGGGATATTTTAATACCTTAAAAATATATATTCACCAGATATCTGTGCTGTACAGAAACAGTTGCGTAATAATGCATAACAAAAGGCCGAGTTTCCGCATGCGGAGCTTTTGGAGTTCTTGTCGTCCGGAATGAAGGGGATCAAGCCACAAATAATAGCAAAAATATCATCGCCGGTATCGTCGTGATTTCTAAAATTTGTGTAAATGTAATAACAGCTCTGCGTAAGTACTTATTGGCTGTATCCATATAAAAGGAAGAGGGGGGGATGCGAAAAAATCTCTCAGAATTTCCTAATTTTCAGACATTCTCGTTTAATTTTCCAGGCAAAATTATACTTTTGCATGAAAATTCAAGATAGATATAGTTACTAAGTGGGTTTTGTCGCGTTTATAATTATTATATATTAATTAAGGATCAACTCAAGTGTCTAATAATAGATTTGAAGAAAGCAATACAATTTTACAAAACTAATATTTCATATAAAAATTTTCTCCTGTTTTTAAGAAATAGAACGAATTATAAATTGCATAGTACATATCGAAACTTTGAATAGGAGAAATATATTTAGAATATATTTTTAAAATAAAAAAACATATTCTATAAAAATATATTTTTAATATTCTATAAATATATTCTAAAATATATTTTTAAAATTAAAAGTGAGAGAGAAAATTAAAAACATCTAGAATATTTTTAATAAGCAGAATTCAACTCTCTCAGGAAAATATTTAAAAATAAATGTTTGCTGAACAAGATTAGCGTTTAATCGTTAATTTGACTTCTTTTTCTCTCACAAAATAAAGAGAAGCAAGATCATCAAAAGGAAGATTTCAGCAGAAATTCCCTGAGTTCCGATAAAATTCCCTGATAATTCTCGGCTCCTCTATACAAGGAAAGTTTCAGAAGAATTCCAGATTTTCCAGATCTTTCTTGGATGATGAACGCAGCGTGAGTCGGACGGAGTAATCCGCGTGCTTATTCCGCGCGGCAAAAGAAGCGAGATGATCGGATTAGCCGACTTTTCGCAGGGATTTGGACGAAAACCAAACGAGAGAGCCCGCTCAAAGAGAGCGGCCGTGCGTTCGGAGCAACTCGTCCAGCACGCAAACTCCGCTGGAAAAACGTCGATAAGCGTCGTACGCTTCTCGCCGATCAAGTCGAGAGCGACTGGGGTCTCGTGGAACCGGCGCAGGGGATCGAGACAACGAAGGGTGGATCGAGCAGTCGATCTTTGCGGGCGGGGTCGGATCCATCGCCGACTGGGTCGATCGACGCACCGCCGCGAGAAGTCAAAGACAAGGTAAAGATATAAATGCCGAGCTTTCGCCACCTGTCCTACGAGATTCCGCTCTGGTGCAAAGCGACCGAGAGAAGTCCAGGTTAAGATCACCGACGTGGCGCTCCATCTATCCGGGGGGTGGCGACTACCTTTCACGGAGGGATAGTCTTCAGCTTTGCGAGACGCGAGATATCCGCCGATAATTATGGCTAGCGGATGTCGGACAGCTAGAGGATATTCGTTGCCGAGAAACACGGAGATGTCGGGTTTTATGATGATAGTTTCATGTATGATATTGCGGAGACGTATATCCAGTCTCCGATAACACTGATAAAATTGATAAAATTGATAAAACTGATATCGTGGATATAAATTTACACTTGGATAACTTCACGAGTAATAGTAGCTTGATAATTTTTGAATCGTATCGTATATTGCTCCCTTTGCTTCAAAAGTGACAGTGAAGTAACCCAAAAAATTAAGTTTCTCAAAAAAAAAGTTATTGTTCAAATATTATTGTTCAGCTTGATGGAAAATTATTAATTAATAAAATATAACATTAGCAAAAAAATATATTCCCAACATAATTAAATATATCAGTGAAAAATATCAAAAAGCCCATCAGAGCCTACATCGGCTGTTCGGATGCACAGAAAACTTTTTATTTTCGTGTGAATGTAACAAAACGAATAAAATAAATGTTTCAACTCTTCAATTCAGGTTTTTTTATCAATATAAAATATAAATCGAAATTATATAAGTAACGCAAATTTTAAGATAGTGATTCCGGACAACTCGTTTTTTAACTCGTTCTTCTTTGTCCAAATATCAAATTAGCTATGTAATGAATAGCCAAATGATTATCAAAAATATTAACTTATACAATAATATAAAAATTTACATAAAGTAAATAATTAAATATCATTTTTGTCATTTTTGTTCATATTCTTTGAAAAACTATCCCTTTGATTCGTGATGATTTTTTTATTAATTAAATTAATTTACTTTTGATATGATTGATAAGATAATTAAACATTATATTAACAAGATTGATATAATATTTATTTATTATAATTATATATATATATATATATACTCGTTCATATTATAATAATAGCCCAAGAATTATGTATTTTTAAGTTGTATTATTTTTGAAGTAAAAGAACGATATATAAAAATGTATTGTATTTAATGATACATAAAGTAAATGTAATGTAATGTACTAATCTATAATTACATAGTAACATTTAATGTATTACATTTGTGCGTGCTGTATAATAACAGTTTAGTTTTATCTGCAACTCTAAAGTCTAGTTGCAGTAACAAAGTAGTCCTTGCTTGGATCACGAAATTGTTGCTTCATAGTTTCCTCAAAAATTAGTGTGATGAGTATTGTTAAATTCTACAAAATATTAAAAGATACAAAAAACAGAAAATATCGCTTTAGGAATTTATGAAAAATTTTGACCATTTGAAGCTCCTCTTTCACGATTGGGAGAATAAGGGAGAAAATACGTTCGTGTCGATACGAGTAACACCTGTACGCGGTCAATTTCGCTTCATGCTGGATCGATTAGCGTCAAATCCATAAGCTCATCTGTATATCCGTTATATATCGGGTAACGTGAGATTGTTGCCGATCCCGATGATATTGGGGAGGAGAATGTCGAGGCAAGCCGCCTGTAAGGCGACACAGGTACATATGGGCTCTCCCATAGTGAATGGACCAAATGATATAAATTATTTATAGATTTCGACACCCAGACAGAGAGAGACAGAGGCGGGCGTGGAGGGTACGCGGAGTTGGGGTGAGTCTGGACCCCTAGGGGGTCCGTTCGCGATCGAAAACCCCCGGGAGACTCCCCCGCGCTCCCCTTAACATATGCATTCTCGCTTCGAGATCACCGTAAGCCTATATAAAATTGATTCCTAAGTACCTTGTATTCGTGTCGTTCTCATGTGTCTTTTAACACCTACATATTTGCCCCCTTCCTCCTCCTTACTTTTCTTTTTTCAAATATGTAGCAAATAAAGAGCGAATACTGTAATAACTATAGTTTCAGTTATCAATCATCTTTGATAACGTGACAGGTATGATAAACCTAATTTGTTTTATCAATAGATTTCTATCAATAGAGAAATGTTTTAAATATTATTCTTATAGTGCGTAAAACTATTTGCCAATCTCAACTGTTTGTTTTTACTAATTGCTTTACAGTTACTGTTTGTCTTTTTCTAATTTCAGTTTAAGAAAAGTGTCATATAGTCGAAGCTGACTAAACCGTCTTAGACCCGTTTCCACCAATATAAGATTATTCCTCAGTTCAATTTATTGTTTATCTTTTTCTTATTCTGAGAATAGAATAAGTTAAACTGAGTTATACCTATTTCCAACGTAGATTAGCTTTAATCTCGGTCCAACTTACTCTTCGTCTTTTTCTAATCTTTAGAATTGGAAAAAGACGAAGAGTAAATTGAACCGAGATTAAATTTAATCTACATTGGTAGAAACGGATATTAGAGAGAATAAATTAAACTGAGATTATTGTTAATCTTACATTGATAGAACCGGCCTTTAAGGACACAAAAATCTTGCTGACTGTACTACTACACCGAGCACTTTCGAACTCGGTCTTGTAACAAATCGGAACGGGCCCGCGATCGCGCAGCTCGCCCCCCTGGGGTCCAATCTAAATCAATGGGCTTGTGGGTAATCGCATAATAATTACCATGGACCCCCTCTACCGCCCATCTGTCGCTGACCGACGGGGCGTACGACCCTCGGAAGAAGCAGGCACTCCATATACGGCGACACACTCGATGAACATGTCCCAGCAGGTCCCATTGTCGATGAGCACCGTTCGGAATGTCACGAAGTTGAGACGCCCCTCGGCAGTCATCACTCTTTCCAAACTGCCATACACTCGATCGTATACAAACCACAGCGAAATGCAATTCTCAAACTAATATCTTACTTCAATTTAAATCCACAAGTTAAATCTCGTATGTGATCTCGTATGCTCGTAGATTATTGTTAAATTTCTCCAAAGTTGTATAGATATATTTATTTAATAAAGTAACAGAGAATGTGAAATATTATCATCAATGCGGCCATTTGTTTCAGATAACAAAATGGAGACAATATTTTTAATCAGCTTTTGCCTCGGCCTAGCCACCGGCCACTTTCGTGGGCCACATCATCCAAGGAGCAGCGTGTCTCATCATCATTACACACCGGACAGCGACGCAATCAAATTGACGCAGGATGATGAACTCCTTCATGATGCAACGTGAGAAATAATTAAACAAAATAATTAGTTCTGTAAATAATCTTGCTGTTTTATAATTAATTCCTTTATATATATTTTTACATATAATATCTATTTACTACAACGATATAAGTAAAAAATTATCATTTTTTTTAGTTGCTTATAAAAAAAGAATGTAAACTTAAGAAAAAGAACATAATTTATTAGGAATAAAAGAACATATTTTTATTCCTTTACAATGTTATTTTTACAAAAAAATTGCATTTTAAAATTGATATTATAAAATTTTAATGATGCAAAGCATTCAAGCTTATTTTCTGAAAAACTTTGTTGTTTTAACTGTGTCGTTGTAGCAAGTGAATGATCTTGTGATTGTTTATCTTATGATTATAGACATTTAAAGGAAGATATGGGTTCCATGGCTGATCAACTTGATTTTTCGAAAATGACTGAACAAGAGATAGAATTCCACTATTTTCAGTATGTTTCAGACATCAAAAATTGGTTCGTTTATCCGCCTTAAACGTTTTTTTTACACATTATTGATATAGAAGCTTCGTAATTATAGAATTCACGATTTCGACAATAATACAAAGTTAGACGGATTAGAAATTCTTCACGCTCTTCAACATACGATGCATGAAAACGAGGAAGAAGGAATACAAAAACCAGAGGAAGATTGGATTGTAGGTACGTTTCAATTTCACATATTCAGAAAATATATTTATATATTACGATTCTTTTTAAAATATACAATAAAATTATTAATCTCTGTTTTGCTTTAGTGCTAATAGATAAAGTGTTAGAAGAGGACGATTTAAACAACGATGGATATCTAGAATATGTCGAATATGTATTAGGCAGACAAAGGGATCATGTCGCACAAGAGAAACGCAACAAGCTCAGAATCGGAACATGAAGATTTTAATTATATATAATTCGTGTCATAAAATTAAATTTCAAAGTAACAAAGAAATGAAGAAAATCTTGGCGAAAACTACTCAAATAACATAAAACATAAAAAATATTGAAAAAGAAAATGAAAAACAGAAAATAAAAAACGGTCAATATAAAATTGCAATCAAATAATATATAAATAATAAATTATTTGATTACAATTTTATATTGACCGTTTTTTATTTTCTGTTTCACTTTCTGTTTTTCGTTTTCTTTTTCAATATTTTTTATGTTTTGTTATTTGAGTAGTTGCTAAGATTGCCTTCATTTCTTTGTCTCTTTTAAATTCAATTTTACTGTGAGTCAAAACATTTGAATTTCTGTAATACATAATAAAATTGATTACGCAACAATAACGGCATCGGCTCTTAAAAGCGTTTTATTCTAGTTTGATTTAATACAAGTAACGACATGAATAAACTTAATATGTCGTACAGTCTTCATTTGTCATACAATTCAAAAGAAATTTAGATCCATCTTCTAAACATTGATATATAATTAAGAATTATTGTACATGTAAAGAACAAAATTATAAAATGTAAAATATATATATTGTAAGAGCTAATATAAATTATAAAAATTACAACAGGAATCATACTGTTGATATATATGTATATATTATGATTCCTGTTATAATTTTACACAATTTTTTACTTATAATACTTTACTATTGTCCGTTTCATACAAGAACAGTCAAAAAATTATTTTTTCGAAACAGATAAACTACATATAACATATATTTTAGATATTTGTATGAAGGCTTTGTATTATGGATTGAAGAAAAATTAATTTGGGCGGAACATACACTGTCGATTAAGACAAAGGGAGTTCAAGTTTAGCAACAAGGGAAAATCTTGCGAATCAGACGCAAATAAGATTATTTCAACCCGGTATCATTCAACTTATATCTTATGCTTTTTTTGATAATTGTAATGACAGCTACGTATATGTATATAAGAAAAGTAACATTCATATATGATTATGATGATTATACATGTACATAACTATGTATAACACTCACGAAAAAATCGAAATGCGAAGTGAATTTAACTAAAGTGTACTACATCACCCTTTATCATTATCTCTTATAGCTTCCTCATGGAAAGGCTTCGTTCAGGTTTTTGGTGTTTTTCTCTTCTTAAAAAAAAACCTATTTTGGTTCTTTTTCTTCTTAATAGTGTACACAATTCAGAGGAACCTTCGTTATAATTATATTTTTTTCCCAAAGATCTTTCACTACTTGAATCTATAATAATCAAAATAATCGCAAGTTAACATTGTACACACATTGTCAATAAAATATTGCAAACAATATATGCTTCATACTTTTGTGTCAACATCTTCGATTTTCAGATCCTTCACAGATATAAAATCAGGATAGGCTTCTATTATTTGTTTAATCGCAGGCACAAATTCTTTGTCAATTTCTAAATATTGTGGCTCATATTCGTGGTATTCTTTGGAATTTTCGGTAGAATAATATATTTTATATACTTTATCTTCTTTTATTAATCTGATAATACAATAACATAGTTATATATTGTTTCTGAACTTGCTTTTCAAAATGGATTATAGCTCACCTGATGCAATACAATCTTAACAATCGTATCTCAGTCGAAAGCTTAATTTTCCCATAGCGCTTCGGCCTGTTATAGAGGTTCTCACCATCTTCTAGTATTGTACACCTACGTTCTGGCTTAAAGATATAAGGGGGCAGAGAATCGTGGATGTGACGTTTGGCCATTAAATCGGCTGCATGATCAACATCAATATATTCCAATAGTTCAACGAACAACTTCATAACAAGAGTCTTGAAAGAATCTTTGCGAAAATCATCATATTGACAACCGATATATGATAAATAATTCATCGGTACTCCTTCACGAAAACGAATATCTCTTTTGGTGGCTCGCTTTAGAGCTTGTGGAAGCAATTTTTCAAAAAAGTCGCACCAACTGTTTCTCTGATACACGCTTACTGTGATGTGCAAGCTATAAGTATCAAGAGCCATTGCTTGATGGATAGTTCCTCGTGGTAGATACAACAAATCTCCAGCGCTGACAACCTTATCCAATATTGGCTCTCCTAACTCCGACTCATCAAAATTCCTTGAGGGATATCTTGGCAAATGTTCACTTGGTTTAAGTGGCTTATATAGTTTCCATCTCTTTTTACCTTCGATTTGCAAAATAAATGCTTCTACATCATCATAATGAGGAGCGAAACCTTGGCTATTAGCTGGCGTGAGATATATATTAGCACCAACAAAGCAACCAAAGAATTCTTGGAGAGTAGCTACAAAACATGTTATAAATTTAATAAATTAATAAGTAATAATAAATTCTTAAAATATAATTACACTGTATTTTTTACCATTCAAAGCATGTATCTTGGGTATAAATATTTGAGGATTTAACATTCTAACGGAGCAGTTGTTTTTAAAATAGTCCCAAACAATACTTGCATAAGCACGACCGGGAGGATTATGAGTCTCTTTCACTCCATGAGAGTAGGAGGTTATATCAAGATGTTTAGTGAATAGAACATTATTATTTCTCAATGTTTCTTCGAATAAAGACATTGATAAAAGGAATTTATAAAAATTACACATATCTCTTTTTATATATAATGGATTCTTTTCCCAATTTTGTCTGATTCAAATAAAAAGATTGATATTAATGCACAATAAAAAATGTATAAACATATATAAATATTGTACTTATCGATTTCAACTTACGTGAAGAATTGTTCTGTAGTCATAGGATACACTAGCCATTTAAATAATTGTCCACAGTCTTCAACAGGATTGCGATGATCATGTTTATTTATCTCAATATTTGCATAAAGTGGATGATCTGTATCATTTAAATTTGTATTTAAATGACTTGAATTTATACTTGTATTTATACTTGTATTCAAGTGACTTGAATTTGCATCATTTAAAATATTTTCTCTGCTTTCTGTTCCCTTTTTTTTTGATTTTGCATGAATAATCCGAACAGTTACTTTTTTCTTCTTAGCAGCCTTTTTATTCTCTTCTTTCATAATTTTTAATTTACTTATGACATCTTTACATCCCATCTCTTGCTTTATGCTTGCTTGTTTAACATCTTTTTGTTCAAAAGTTTTCTGCTTTTTTTTCTTTTTATTCAATAACTGTTCTGTTTTTTTACGTTTTGCTGCATACATGGCAAAAGCTGATATTGGCTCCTCCATATTACTTGATATTAAATATTAACTCAAACACAATCAGATCTAATTTAAGTTTATATTTCTTAAACGTTAAATTAGAATAGTCAATAGCTTATCACAAATAAATCAGCAAAGAGTCGGCTCTTTCTTATCTTTTACTGGTTATTAGTGATCAAAGTGCTTTTAACCTATATCTGTTCGATTATAACACATAAATTCTTGTACCTGTAATAACATTTTCTCTGTAATGATTATATTTCAAAATTAAAGTTAAATTCTATATAAATATTTTCGTTATAAAATTAAATAAATATCGCTTTCGTTGCGATCCATTTTCTTCTTTTCCAAAAGCAACGTGTTACTAAGATAGGTTAGATTCCAACATATATCGTGTTAATACGAAAGCTACATACGAAAGAATCAATCAAGTCAATAATCAGAAAATTTTTATAGTTTTGTAAAAAAAACTACAATATAACTTATTATTAAACATACTGACCTCTTTTAATATCAAGTCTATACGTGATAATGAAGCCATGCGATATACATTCGTTAGGACATAAAGAATTCACAAGGTGTTAACCACGCCACAACCACGTCACTTCCTTAGTATTCGACTTCCTTAGTATTCGAATATTTGGATTCTAGATTTTTATGATTACCCCTAATTCCAAAGGCTGCTATTTTATTTGTTTTCATATGATAAATTTTTCAAGCATGTGATTGACTATAAAACAGAAAGATTCGAAGGACCTCTCTGTCCTTTTTGTATCTATTTTGGAACTTTTGACGTACTTCATTATATCTATTATTGTGCAGTTTTTTACCATGTAAAATACTTGCACATACTAAAATTATCATTAAAAAGATACAGAATGGGTAGCTCTATTCTCATAGCCTAAGAATCATGATTTATTCCGATAAAAAAAAAATTCATCCCATATCTAATGAATAAGAATTAAATTAAAATATAAAGAGATATAAAATAAAAAGTATGAAATATCAAATCTAAAGGGATCAAATTGAATTTTAATTAAAACGGAATTTAAATTTTCTTTTAGGTTTTTCTCAAAATAAATTCCAGTAAATTGACAAGCTCTAAATATTTCTTGCGAAGAACAATATTTCATCTCATTTCTTTTTGAAATTGCCAATTTAAGAAAAAATAATATATAAATTAAAAAATACCGATGTTATATAATTATATATATTATAATTACAGATTATTTGAGAATATATTATGAAAAAGATCGATGATTTTTACAGCACACAGTCATCAATAAAAAGAGAAGATTATATAGATTTTTTCGAAGTTTATTTAGATCCATTAAATCTATACCACCCATAATAAATCTTACGTGACTAAGTTTTGTTTATCTAGAAAATCTATACATAATTATTCGGAAAAAGTAAGATTAAACCCGTACACTGCGATACATGTTACAGTCGAGTCACCGTATTCTGCACTCTTCTTTAAACCGCTTCTTCATACACTATCTTTCCTATTAATTACATCCTCATCACAATCGGTTTAGAGCGGCATGCCGAACACAGAGACAATAACTTTATTCAGTGTTTTGGACAATGTTTATAACGCACATGGAATTGTTCTGCATCATATTAAAGTCACACATATTGTAATATTTCAAGGGAGTAGTCCGTATCTCAGTCGAGGTATTATTCAATATAGTGCGTAAGTGTATGCCCGTGTGTATGTGTGTTTATTACACATACACACATATATATATATATATATATACTCTCTCTAAATTCTAAAAAATAAAATCTCACTCTTTAAGAGATTTAAAGAATGAAAATTGAGCCAATCTTGCAAAAGATTGACTCAATTTTCATTCTTTTCAATCTTTAAACTCAGTTTCAATCTTTAAGAATCAGATTTCACTCTTCAGAGTGA